TGTCACAGTTCAGGGATTGTTATCCATTTTCCTAATACATCAAAATACTCTGTTCTTATTTAGATTTTAATTCAAAGCCCATCACAGAGTGGTGTTGATAGGCTCTTGGTTTCATTGTATTAACTCAACCTAGTTTAAAAAATATACAGTACAGACTGACACAGGGAAGGGCTGACTGATGGGAAGTTTGAAACAAAACCACGAGTTATTTAACCCCCAATTCATGCTGATATCCTCTCTGCCACGGACTGGGAGCAGCACTGTCTGTTCCAATCACAAAGCCAGCAGAACGTGCCCCATTAAGTGTTGAATGTGCCCCACTAAGTGTTCTTCAGTTGCCGTTTAAAATAACCACACAGTGTCCTGCATGCTCAGCTCCTCTGGAAGAGGCCACTGCAGTTGAGACCCATAAGGCAGTTAAAGCACACAGAGCTCACACTGGGACACTTCCCCTTTCCTGGGGCACTCAGTACCTGCACCCCCTTCTGCCCCAGCTCTGAGCCTTCCCTCCCTTTCCCAGCCCACCACAAGGCCTGGCCAGATCTCATTGTGGAGCCCCCTTTTTTTTCTTCACTGTGGATCTGGAAAAGAAATCGTGTTTCCAGACCTGAGTCAAGATTCACATGACAAAATAAGTCCTGTTGCTGAGATGCAGCCAGTTATCAAAATCATAGAATCGGGGGGGTGGGTTGGGTTGGAAGGGATCTTTAAAGATCATCACTTGGCTTTGCTGAACCTCATGAGGTTCCCATGGGCCCACTGCTCGAGCTCATGTGCCTGATTTGTGTGGCGAAGGGGATGAGCACCGACTCTGGAAGGTTCCTGCAGACCCTGGGTTTGCACAGCACATTTCCAGCACCCCAAAAACATGGGCTGTGCTGCGCCCTGGGTGATATGGCTGTTGCACAGCACAATCTGATTGAGGAAATATCTAGGGTTACCCAGACAGTCAATTATTCATCAGCTAAACAGCCAAGCATCAATTACCTGGCCTGATTCTCTTATTCATTAAGGAGATTGAAGAACGCACCTAAACAAAGGAAAAAGTTGCTAAGTTACAGGAGCTGCCGGGTGGAGGGGCCAAGTCAGGATTTCAAAGGAAGGAGTCTGGCAGTGAGAAACTTCCTGAGGCCACAGTGTCCCCCAGAGCACTCGGGTTTGCAGAGCCCATTCCTATGCAGGGTTGGGAGCAACAGGGTTACAGAGAGCAGCAGGATGTGCTGCTTGTGACTCGTGTGGGACTGTGGGCAAGGCCTGAAATGGAGCTTTGAAGAACTTGGAGGGTTAAAGTGAGGGGCAAGAGTGGGATGCCCATCACTTTGGGAAGTTTTTAATACAGGTGGGGGTGGGATGGGAACTGTTTCAGAGAAAAAAGCTGTCAGTGGCTTCTTGTCCAGGACAGGCTTCCTCTGCGGGTCCAGCAGTGAGGGCCACTCAATGCAAGAGAGCTCCAGAGGGACTGAGTATTGGGCCAGCTGCTGAACTTCCTTCCAAAGAGAGGGAAGGGGAAGTGCCTGGATTCTGTGCATTGCTTCAGATTAAACCAGAAGCACTCGCTCTCCTCTCCTCTTCTGTAATTAAAATCCAAGCAGAGCTTTGCCAGCTGCAGAGGTGCTCTAGTCAAGCAAAGCTTTGGACATGTCCCTGGCCACAGGGGGGACTCCAAGGGCTGACCAGGTGTTTGGGGGTGTTAATCCCAGACCCAAACCAAAAGCCTTTGGCATTAGCACCTGAAGCTGCCCTGCAACATTGCCGTGCTGGGTAATGAAGGCAGGACAAACAGTCTTGTCCAGCAGCAGTAGGTGGAAAGCTGATTAATCTTATTTTTTAATTTTTCAGGAAACAAGGTTTTGATTTGAGGTCCCAGGAATGCATTCTCACTTGTAATGTGCATGAATTATACTACTTGTTTCTCGTCTCATTCCCTGAAATTAAAATTGTAATATAGGACACACCGGTGCTTGTTCAGAACAAACCCCTTCCCCTCTTGCTGGAGAGGATGGGAGCAATGGGATAATGCTTTCCAGGGGTGGAACAGAGCACTCAGCTGCCAGGCATCTCTTCCTTGTTACATTTGCTCCTAGTTCTAGAAATACATCTAAATGCAAGGACTCTGTGCCACAAGAAATTAATGAGGAACAAACATTAATTATTCATGCCCTGAAACAGTAGGTCTGCTAATGTTTTTGCTAATCAACAAGTGAAACAGCTGCATCTCTGTCAGGGCAATCTTTGGGAGGACAGAAGAACAACGCTGGAACGGACTATCCCCAAAGTCTCACCCTCTGTCTAACTCAGTGAGGTGTGTTTGTCTCCAGCCCAGCCAAAGGAACCCAGAGCCTGGGAGTGAGAGCAGTCCCAGCCCTGCACTTCCTAGCGGTGCCAGAAGAGCATCCCTTCATCCTCACACCGTGCTCCTACATCCAGGGACACTGACGGGTGGGTTTAGCCAGGGATGATCCAGGAAGTGCAGACATTGAGGGAAGGTGCCACCTGTTCCCAAAGCCAGAGAGAGCTCAGACTTTTTAAAGTCAGAGTTAACTCCCTGAACACTCCCAACAGCTGAGAGTGAGCTTCTTACAGGAGTCCCCTCACTATTATGTGACTCACAGGTAACCCAAAGTCACATGAAAAAGTGAAAAGGAAGAGAAGATGGAAGTGTTGTCTGACAGAGCTTTCTCCACCAGAGAGCACACAGAGGTATGTTATGTTGAGTTGACTCCAAATAATTTTCACATGAATTACTAAAGTGCCAGAAATGTATAATTTATCAGTGTTTAAATAAATCACTGGCAGAAGTGCTTTAAGGTTACGGGCGCAGGATGCGCGGGCTGGGCTATAATTAACTCCCACGTCAGGGAGCGCGGAGCTGCTCCAGCGGTGCCACAAGACACCACCAGGGCTCAGAGACAGGGAGTACAAAAGGGGTTCGGCTCCTAAAAATAGGATGAATGGCACCACAGCAGTCACAGCCCTGAGCTGGGGGCAATGCTGGTGCCCCCCCTGCCGGCCCTGGGCTCCTCCCCACCCCCTGGTGCTCCAGGGCTTTTCCCTGGGATCCAGAGTATTTGTTTTCCGCTTGGGAGCACTGGCAATCCCGGCAGTGCCACTGCACAGCTCCCGGCAGCTGTGGCAGCGCCCGACCGAACCTGGCTCTGCAGGGAGATGTGACCTCGACTGGGGCGCCTGTCCCTGATCACCCACAGCTGGCAGAGGGTCACTGACGTGCTGCTGGGAGTCTCTGCTGCACTGACAGGGTACCTGCCACTGTTCCTGCTGGGGGGTTCCCCTCTGGGGGTTCCCCAGCGGGAGGCACTGAGCAGTGACAGCTCCATTTGGACTGGAGCTTATTGACCAAATAAAATGTTTTTTTTTTTGAAGTTCAAATCCAAAAGCCATTTCTGACAAAAAGTGAAATGGCCAGATGCCATTAAGAAGTAGTGAAAGAAACTTGGTTTTCTTTTGTGGGAAGAAGGAGGAAGCTCCAGGTGAAGAAGAAGGAGGCATCTGGGGACACCCCACACAAGGCCTTACCCCCACCCTGTCCAGCTCCACACGCCCAGGATCCCATAGGGATCAGTCTACCTGATAATTACCAAGCAGCAGTTGGAAATTGTCTGTGGAATGATCCTGGGGAAGGAGAGAGAAACAGCTCTAGTTTATCCATTTAGGTTTTGATCATCACAGTTGTAAATCTGTCATGGAACAAAGCAGTGGCAGCACATAAAAACCTCCAGAGAAACATCAAATTACTTTTCCCTTTTCAACCCCCCTTGTGTCAGTGATATTGTCAGTAAGGGCCCAGACACGTTACACAACCTGCTCCACAGGACAGAACTGGGTCCCACATTTCCAGAGACGAGTTAAAATTAGATTCCCACCTTCGGGAACCCTCTCCAGACAGTTAACACTGTATTCCACGCAGCCTCGACCGGAGACAATAAAGACATTCTTGGCCTGACGAGTACACCAACAACTTACCTTCATGTGTCTGTTCACTTCAAATAGTTCCCGTAGACATTTGCTTCTTTCCAACAGGCTCCTGGTAGGATTCCAGCCCACGGCTGTGGGAAGAACTGTCCCACCCTGCTGGGCTTGGGGAACTCTCAGATAATATTTGGAGTGGCCAGGGGGAAAAATACATCCAAAGACACACACACACACACACACACACAGATGCTACTCCCCTTCCACGTTCTTTATATTCCCTTTTCCCATTAAAATGAATTTTGATCATGTAGGATGCAGCAAGTGCTTTGAACTGGATGCCAGACCTTTCCTGCTCTGAGTCAGGACCCATCTCTGGAAGGACGTGGCTGCCTCCTGCAGAACGAGACTGGTTGGTGGCTGTGGACTGAGAAGGGAGCTGGGGAAAACTCTAAAGTTCAACTCCTGGCACTGAGAAAATGTCCCAAAGCCACAGGTTTGTCATGGAGGGGCTCTTCAGCAGCACAGAAGAGCCAGGCTGGCTTTTAAATCATCCCCAGCAGCCGGGAGGGGCTGCAGGAGGGAAAGATTTGGAAAAACTTGGATCACAAACATTCACATTCATGAAGGCAACACGGGGAAGAAGAGGGAATAACAGGAATTGGTGAAAGGAGCACAGACCAAGAACAAAGGTGACAGTGGAATAAATTAACTTTCACCCCAACCTGTGAAGGAGTCAGAACAGGCAGGTGTGTCCTCTCAGGGCCTGTACCCAATAGCCCAGAACACTGCAAACCTGGGAGAGACCAAGAAGCTACTCCGGGCTCTACAACCTTCTTTCATTTTCTGTTAAACTTTGAGCCCCCCGAATGTCAAACAACCCCCACCCTGCCTCCTCCCACATCCATTTACCTGTCTTAACACCTTCTGTTCCAGAGCACTGAGACACTTGGAAGATTTATCTCCCAGCTCCAACATAAACCAAACCTGCACACAAATTCCACACACATAAATCTCCCTTCATACATCCGCTTCCCCCAAAAGAAGTGATAATGCTCTTTTTGTGAGAGTTGTAATTTTTTTGAATGGTTCTGCTTCCAATTTATTTCAGTTAGAAGTTTGTCTTTTCTAAATCTTGAACCATTCCACAGTATATCTTTATTGCAAAAAAGTCAACATGCATCTTAGAAATTCAGCTTGTAATCAATAAAACAAACATTACATATATGAATTTCAATGTATAAACAGTTAGAAATTCATCAATATCTCCTATTACCCTATTACACAAGGTCACAATCTGTAAAAACTATAGTACAAGGTTACTATACACCAAGAGGAGCTTTGTTCCTTTTCACATGATTTTGTTAAAGTGGTGCTTTCACAAGCAGGTGCCAGGTTGCAGATTTACCTTTTCAGCTCTGGAGATGGTTTTATTTTGCTCAGGTTAAGTCAGCAAGGAAAGGGATGGAATTCCTCCCACAGTGACTTGCTTTCCCCATCCTCAGTGTCTGTCCCCCAGCTCAGGCTGGCACAGGGAATCACACCTGCCTGGGGCACACAGGTACCCTGCGGGTTGTGTTTTGCCCAAGGTACACGTGAATTTCCCAATAAAGCATCGCCATGAAATAAACTCAGCTGTACTGCCCTGCTGCCTATGGAATCCAAACCAAACCATTCCAAGAGAGTTCAGCATGCCCTGAAATATAGGGGGGTCCACACACTTTGGCAAAAGGCAGGCCAGTGTCACACGGCTCCCCTCCCCCTGCTCCAGCCCCCCGAGCCAGTCACAGCCCTGCTGCCCCCTGGGCACAGCCAGGCTCGGGGGCACTGCCTGCCCCACAGGCACCAGACACCTTTGGGATGGCACCAGGGACTTGGGCCAGCCTGCCAAGGGTACTGTGAAGGCAAAATTAACTGTATGAAGCATTCAAAGCCATTAAATAAAGCTCTGACCCTCACTCCCCTCCTCTCCCCCAGCACTTTCCCCTGGAAAAACAGACGTCACCCCAGTGTCACTTTAGAGCTAAAACCATATGAAAAGGAATCTATTCCGTGTGTGTCGAAGGCTACTGCAATTTGCTTACAGCTTAATTAATCCACTGTAATTTTCATTTTCCAAATACAAAAATACAACAATTCTTATTGAAATCTATACGCCGGTAGTTTTAGTACACAAAAAAAAGCAGAATATTTACAAAATTATACAGTTTAAGAAAAAGCTCTGTACAAAAAAATATATAAATCCTTTTGATCCCTCTCTCATTTTTTAAGTTGTCAGGACTCGGACATGTTTGCTGCAATGGATTTTTCAAGATACACACTGTGCCACAGACATTAAAATCCTTAGGGATGATGGGAGAAGAGCAAGACATTCCTCTAAGTACGTGGGGGGAGTGGGCTTCCCCTTGTTTCTTCATGCCTGAAATTTAGACTCAGTCCCAATTCTAGGAAAAGGTGAGTTTTGGAAAGAGACAGAATACTGGAAACATTCCCTTCAACTGACAGGAAACAGGACATTATACAGATTGATACCCCACCATGGCTCAAGGATAGAGAGTCAGCAGGGCTGCGACCCCAGAGGGTGCTCAGCACCTGCCCCTGGCCACGATAGAGCCACAGGCAGGTGAAGGGTGTGGTGGATATTGTCCTTCCATCAGGAGCCCCTGGGGAATACAGTGGTGATCACTCAAGAGAGAAGAGCGCTGTGCACTGACATTGTGTTTATTTTGTGTAGAAATGTACATAAACTGCACTGAGGAGTGGCCAGGACCAGTGGACAGGCAGGGAAAGTGCTGCTGGGTGACTCAGCCGTGAGCCCTGGAGCCTGTACCAGGCACAGCACCCGGCTCAGGACCCTGACCTGGCTACCTGCATCACCACCAGCACACACCCCATTCCTGGGGGGGTTAAATGGTACAGCAATAAGGCAATTGAGAATGTAATGGAGTTCAGCTCAACATGTCTGAAAGAACTGCCCTTGGCCATGAGGGAATCCCCTTGGAGACCCAGCTCTGAACACCCTTGGGACACTCGTCCCTGGTTTGGGGCTGGGCAAGACAGCCTGGTCCTGTGGGCTGAAACCCATCCTGCTCTGAACACTGCAGGGCTCTGCCTCGAACAGACAGCTGGAAACAGGGAGAGGAAGAGAGCTGCTCCTGGTTGGGGCCAGATTAGCTGCTTTTGAGGGAGTCTGGAACTCCTTCCATTCCTGCTCACAAATACTCAAGTGCAGTAAACAAACAGTCTGACTTACACTGAGCCTTACACTGGAACTACGGAAGGAAATCAAGAGGGAGTGAAAATCCACTCCAGTGTGTCCCTGCTGATGTTTTCTGTGAAGCAGAATTTGGAGAAACAGAGTGAACTGGACCATGTTATAGCAATACCCTGTTAAATTGTTTCTTCCACCTCCTCTCACAAAAAGCAGAACAACACAGAGACTGTGTGGTTGTCAAACATACTGAAATAAATGATTTATGAACCTAGCTACAAATAATGCCTACTATGAGAGACTCCATAGGAAACAAAATGCTACCCTTTTTCAACGAGCAAATGAGGCCAGTTTTTCTTTCATAATATTTAATGAAAGTTTGTCTTTACCCTAACCCCATAATATTGCTGAATAAAACCTGTAATATCTTTTCAATTATAAACTAACAAACCAATCACATTATAAAAAACCCAAAACAAGGTAATACAGGTGACACAAAAAGAGGACAAGAAAATACTAATTTTCCCCCCCCTCTCTTTTTATCCTTCTTAAATAGAAAAAAAATCACCATCTTGGTGAGCTTGATAATCCTGTAAGAAGTTCCTGGGCCTTTGGCTAGCTCAGTCTCACAGCTCTATGTCCCAAATGTTCTCATACCAAACTCTGCTCATGGTAAATCTTGTGGTTTGAAAAGAAAGTAAAGCTTTTTTTGGCTCATCAACTTCCTTAAATAAACGTTTAAAAGATGCAGCTTGAACTATATTCCTAAAATTATACATTTCCAACATCAAGTTTCATCTTCTCCAAGAACGAGATTCATCCTCATCTTCGTCATCATCGTCATCATCTTCGTGCAAAAATAAATCTGAGGTTTCAGTCTCCTGAAGGAAGAAAAAAAATGGACTTTTAAGCACAAATTCCACACTGTGCCCTGGGACACACCACACCACACAGCCTCAGCTGTACTTGTACCTGCCTGTGGAGTTACAGTGTGTCTCACAGACACACAAACTACACCCAATCAGCTTTAGGGGAAGAATGGCAGCCTCAAATCAGGAGAGGGAAAGAGAGCAAAGCTTCAGAGGAAGCTGGAATAAACCATGACCCACGCCCCTCCCAAAGAAGGTTCCTGTTAAGTGCCTCAACAGAAACACCTTTAAAAGCTTAATGTGTTCAGAATTATGGGGAAGAACAGAGATAAAGTTTCCTACAGTGGAGCACTAACAGGAGTTAGTGCTTTGCAGTCTGCATATAGAACCTGAGGTATCATCATTGACAAATCAACATCCCATCCACAAAGTGTCTTTTGTTTTTCTTTTTTTTGCTCCTTTTCCCCATTTTAAAATGTGGGAAATGCAGTTCAGTTCCTGGTCTACAAAAACATCTTTTACAAAATTTCTTCAGCACACAGAAAACTGTATATTAAGAGCTCTGAGCTATTAGATTCCAGGAAGAATGGTCAGGTTATTAACAGATTTCCATACCTCTTCCTTGGACTCCTCTTCCTCGATTTCTGTGGACACAGAAGGTACCTTGGGTTTGTGCCATGAGATCTGGAGCCGTCGGTCCTTGAACCGGGATCCCTGGTTAGCAGCCTGAGTCATTTAAATGAACAGATTTTCAGAGAGAGGATCAAGTAAAGAACTTTTTTAGTATCACCAACAAGTCAGACCCAGTGCATGAGGTGCAGAGGCACATTTGAAGATCTCAAATATATAAACCACAATCACCCACTTAAGTCTTCTGAGAGCAACTTCACTCGCACCCAAACTTGCCAAATGCTGCTCCCGCCCAAGAGGATGAGCAGAGCTCTGAGGGGATGGGGACACGGAGCCTTTACCAGCCAAAGCCCTGTGTCACTGTTCAGGTGGTACCTCTCTTTCTGTGGCACTACCTGCAGCAGCACCAAACACTGTCGAGTTCAAACTGGGGGATCAAAGCCTCCGAAATTTTACAATACAAAAGGTAGACATCAGCGGTTAAAAATTCTTATTTTAGGTCTGTGAAAAAAAAAATATATCCATGATTCTACTTACATTCTCAGCTTCTGAGCGAGACTTAAAAGTTAGAACAACACTTAATGGGGAATCCTCTTCTTGAAGGTCTTCAATATCTCCAAATTTCTGTGAGAGAAAAGTTCATTAGGACCAGCAGTAATATTCTCCTCCAAACCCACGATCATCATGGGCTACACTTGCAGTACTAAAGTGTACTGAAGTCTGATTTCTTGGACAGAAAAGCGAGAGCCAGCAGACTCTCAGCTCCATCACCCAGCAATATTGCAGCACTTGAATTTTTGGACAAAAGCTCAGATTTATTGCTATCCTACTAAGCACAGCTTAATTCTGCAGGAGGAAATGAAACACACGTATTAATTTACAGCTCACACTTACAGAGAAGTGCTGTAACAATTCATCTTTTTCCTCTTCAACAAAGCCTCCAACGGTGAGTGCTTTGGGCCGGTGATCCACCACCATGTGGTTCAACATGCCCCGTCCTCTGCCCCCACGGCCCCGGCCCCGGCCCCTTCCTTGGGCTGGCACTGTCTTTCCTCGACCAACAGGCAAGATTCCTAATCGGGCAGCCTGGGGAGAGAACACAGCCACCCCCACCGTGAGGGGATCCAAGGCACTGACACCTCAGAAATTCATTCCCAGCACCAGTGCACACCAGCTCACCTCCACCTGTAACTGGTTGAGCTTCTTCCGCAGCTCAGTCGTGTCCTCTCCAGAGGACAGCCTCTTGTGGAAATCCAGCTCTGCATCCAACAGTTCCTTCTGTGCCTGGGAGGAAAAGGGACAGGAAGAGAAAACAGGAGGGAAGGGCAGAACCGTAAAATAGAATGTTTATTCTACTTCAACATGTTGATGTGAACGGTCCAGACAGATCAGGACACGACAGCCACACTTTTCTCTAAATTCAGACTGTTTTAACTGTGTCTGTGTTGTCCCTACCATTTTTTGAAGGACCCAGAATCCTCTGCTTTAGAACTGGAACAAGTGTGAATGAGCTACAAGCAAAACTAGGTCATGGAGTTCCTTAAACCATGGCTTGCTCATCCATAGTTATCACTCACATTAAAATACTGCTTGCAAGTGTTTTGATCTAATGTTGCTGCATTTTTAAGAAATATTATTGGAAATAGTTACAAAAGATAAACAGGCAAGTATGTCGCACAAGAAATACCTCTGTCTTGGACTTCAATTTGGATGGTGTGGAGGTTGTAGATGAAGTTTTTAATTCATCCTTTAACTGAGATATTTTTCCTGTTAGTTCTTTTAAGGTCTTCATAATTTCTGCTCTCTCTTCTGGTTTCATGGCCTTGTTTTTCTCCAGCTTGGATATCAACATCTATGCAATAATAAAAGAGCAGGAACATAAAATTCCAGGCTAAACAGCCCTGAACAGACAGGTATCTACAAAATCAGAACGTATTTACTAGAGACATTCCAGGCTTACCTTCTGGCATTCTATCTGTTTTTCTAACATCTCCTGCTTCTTTTTCCTCATGTCTTGTTGGAGTTTCATTGCCTCCTATATGAGGAGAAAATTCTTTCTATCAGTAAAAAGCAGTCTAGCATTCTATGTACTCATACAGATCATATTGTCCTCTTCAAGCTATGGAAATGAAGTCCACAACAAAAACTACTGTCTGCAAAAAGCACAACTATGAAGTATAGCTGATCCAATAAAAAGCTGCTAATTTTCCACTGTAAAGTACTTTACTTTTCACCCCCTTCAGACACCTCTTAAGAAACATACCCTATGCTGTCATTCAAGTGTCTCCTACCTGCAGAGATGGAAATCAGAGACATGCCTCCAGAAAACCCCACACAGCCCAGTGTGTTGAGTAAGACACCCCAAAAGGACTCTCTGCCCATGATCAGCCCCAATGTGTGTTTGCACGACAGTCTCATAACGATGACAAAGCCCACACCCGTGCAGAAAGCTGTACAGCAGTACTGAGGTTTCAGGTGCCCATAAAACCTTGCATTTAAAACACTTTGCTCACTACACTGTCAGTCAGCCATCAATAGTCAAGTACCTGTTTTTTTTTAAGGGCTTCTTGCACATCGTGAGGTTTAGACCCTGCACCAGACTTCAGGGATGTCTTTAAATTTGGAGAACTGTAAACCATTTTTGAGTGGCTTGTAGAAGTAGGAAATATCTGAAATAGTAAAAACAAACACACTAAAATATGGAATAGCTGAAGTGACTGATATACCATCAGGAAACTTCAGAGGGACATATATGAGCACAAATGTCCAGATTTGTACAATGAGGTAGAAAGACCAAGGCAATTAAAACACATAGATCAAGACATAAATCTAGTTAAAAGGATTTCTGCAAAAGATACTGTCTTTCCTTCTCCATGCCAGACTCCTTCTGCATCCTGATTCCCACTAGGACACCACTGAAGGTGATGATTTCCATCCACCTTAGTTTCAGCTTCACAGTCACAGCCTACCATCACACTTTCTGATCAATGAAGCAGCAAAAGCCACTTCATGCTTCCTTTCTCAAAAGGACTTCTCTATGGCCCAGAACACATGCTGCACTTCAGTACTGAATTAAACTGTATCAGCTTGAACTCTGGGCACAAGTAGTCTCTAAGCTTCTAGCACTGCTGTTAAAGCACAGCATAAGCTCAAAAATCACTGAAAGCCAACAGATTCGCCAACAAAAAGCTGATCTCACAGGCTGTCAGATTTGTTTACTATGAAGCACTGCCAAAAATATTTTATGCTATTTAAAATACTGACACTTTGTTCCTTAAGTCATTGTCCCTATTTCATATAAACAGCTGATGAAATGAGGAAGAAGTGACTGACTGTGGCTGAGTGGAACATTAAGTGAAAAGGAACAGAACCAAGTGGGAACAATTCACAAGTCCTTCCCAGCTGACAGGCCAAAGCTGTATCTGAGGGCATGACCAGGGCTGGTTTTCAAACGTACCTGAGACTCTTCTACCCCAGCCCCAGGCTGGCTTAGCTCAGGTTGGCTTCCACCCGCTGCTCCAAGGCGCCGTTTCACCGGGACTTTGTTAAGGACATAGGCACCAGATGCCAGGGGTTTGTTCATCACCTGTGTATCCACAGATATTGAAACATGAAGATTAGATAATTTGCTTTCCTGCAGCAGCAGTCACTCTGGAAAGCTGCTGACCTCCCTGACAGCACGTACCTTGGACAGGCTGCTGTGCACGGTCACGGCAGGCGGCGTGGCCAGGGCCTGCTGCTGGAGGTGCAGCTGGTGATGGAGGGCCTGGGGGGGGGTTGGCTGCTGCTGCTGCTGCAATGTGGGCTGCTGCTCACTCTCCCTGTGCCACAGCACCCGGATAAAACGATTGCTCAGCACCGCCTCCGTGCTGGAAATCGCCTTCCTCGCCTCGTCGTTACTCAAGTACTGAATGAGAGCAGCTTCAGGGTCGTTCTGGAAAGCAACCTAAAGCAAAAGTTCATAAATGCATTATTTGTCAAGAAAGGAAACATCTCAACTGGCAACAAACGCATCTACAAATAATCTGCAATGATGAGTGGGACACCCAGTGTATTAACAGCTCAAAACATGGGTAGGACGCTCTATGTAATTAAAGCCAAGTACATTCTGGCAAACATTACATGTCCTTGCAGCAAAGCCTATATACAGTAAAATAAATAAATAAAGACTCCTCCACCAGCAGCATCACATTTAGAGCAGTGTGCAGTGCCACTGGGATATGGCTGAAGGGACCCTGGTACTGACCCAAAGGCTCTTTATTCCAACCTCCCAGAAGGCGAGTGCTACCCAAGGGTGCACAATCTCAGCACACCCTCAAAGCAACAGTACCTCAGAGTCTTGAATAAGACTCTTTTTCTAAAAATTAGTATCACAGTAATAAAAATGTATCTTGGACTTTCTAGTGCAACGATTCAGACAGCATGTTTGAAATGCATTATTTCCTTATGGAGGTGCAGAAAGCACCACAGTATCTTTTGGGCTAAGACATAAAATTATCAACTCAAGAAATATGGAGGCTTCCAAGGCATGTGTCTTTTATTTAGACCTGTAACTGAGGACTTAAGAGGCCACTGTTTATTCTAGAAAAATAAAATGGAAATTAAATGGTGTTTTAACTATGTAACCTTTTTTTAGTACTTTTCCCCTTCTTACAGGACAAGGGACACCATTGAGCTGGAACCAGTTCTAGGATGCCAAGTGGTAACAAACTGATGCAGATAAAGACTCTCCTGTAGCATCTTTGTCAAAATCCTGACTGAGAAATACTGTAAGACTACCATACAAGACAAACTGTCTCTTTAAAAAGTTACATACAAGCTCCTCAAACACCTGAGTCAGTTTAGACACTGTTAAACTGGTCAGTTTTTCAAATGTAGTAAGGCCTCATGAAGGCAGAAGCCAACACACTTTTACAGAATTAAGATAATAATACACAGTAGACCAAGAAAAGGTTTCCTTGAACTTGATTACCTCCTCTCCCAGTTAGTCACCATTAAGATTTCTCAAGGAAAACATGCAATTATTCCAGCAGGCTTTGGGGAAAATAAAATAACCATATACAGACATAAAACTGAACTTTGGCTTTTACCTGAATGTTTACAATAGTTCCAAATTTGCTGAAGTGTTCGTTGAGCTGCGTAATATTGTTCAATTCTGGTGGAATTTTTCGAACTTCTAATTTTGTATTTGTGTACTGATTCTTTTTCAAAAACCCTGGCTTGTTCTGGTTGTTATTTGCTTGCCTAGAGAAGAGGAGAACAGGAGCAGTTTAGATGGGCACACGTGTCCCCAAGTAAGGCAGCAAATGTTAATATACATTTTTCCCCTGAAAAGTACACCCCCTACACACTAACAAAGAAGAGCTCTCCCCACCACCCAATATTTAGTCACCATATTACGTGGACACAGATTTTCTGACCCAACTAGCCCCAACTGCAGAGACTGGGGAACAGCAATGTTCACAGCACTGACAGCAATCAAGTGCATTCCAATTAATTCCAGCTAATTCTTACTTTCCCAGCCAGGGTTTCTTCAGTGGTGGACATTCCATGTTACTTGGAGATCTTTTCCTGCTGTCTGGTTCCAGGACAACTCTAGTGACATTGCTGCTGTTATTTGTAATGGGAATGGGAGGTTCAGTCTGGATGATAATATTGGCAGCTGGAGGGAAGGAAAAAGGCCTGTGTTATTCCACTACACATGGAAAAGCTTTGCCTTACACAGCAAAACAGGACTGAGGTTAAAAACATAAACATTAGGAAGACTTTAACAAATTGGTCAGTTTTGTTTCTGAAGTTATTCCCACATTAATCCCTAGCCTAACTAAACATCCTAAGGGAAACACACACAGTCCAGCCAGGAGGGATAAGGTTTTGACCTTTAAGGTTAATATTAGCTTGAACAAAGCTATAACTTCATCTTTCAGGTACTGAAAACTCAGATTCTGCAGGAAAAGGAGAGGGAGGGGGAGAAAAAAACCCAACCCAACCAAATCCCAACAAAACAGAAAAGGAGGCAAAGAGCCAAGGCTGCGTTCCCAGGTTCCCAGGCTTCAGTTTAGAGCTCTGCAATAGGCAGGGGCTGAATATACAACCAAGTTCCCCTGTATGAACCCTTGACAGGGTAAAAGCAATGAAGAACCCATGTCTTCCACTGCTATCCCCTTGCCAGCCCTCCAGCCAGGCTTCAGCAACAACCTGTTAATTAAATACAACTATTACGCTCTCCAAGACATTAGATTTAAAGTTTGAAGCAACTTCTACCAACACAAAGTTTGCTAGGAATTTATTTATAACCTTTGCAAGAGTATGCCCTTGCTATTAGTCTCCTGCCTGTGCCAAATATTCAACTCCTAAAAAGAAGTCTGAGTTATACAGCAATTTCTATGACTTTTATATAAGCCAGAGCTCTGCTGGTTACACTGGTGAGAACAGGCTGGGCATTTCCAGGCCTGGCTTTGATCTCACTTTGGAGGATGATTTGAGAGCAAACCTTTTCCACCTGTGACAAAGACAATAAAACAAGTGGTGTGAAGCTCCACCACCAACCGCTCACCCCCGTCTTACCCCTGGGATGGGCTCTCAGAGAGCCTGAGGGGCAGCAATAAAGCCCCAACCCTGCCTCTGTGACAGCCATTAAGATACAAATGGCAACAGCGATTTCTGCAATAATATTTAACTATATTCTTTACAGGATGAGTCACTGGAAGGAAATACTGAAAAAAAAAATCTTTCTTATCTACTGAATAAGAAACACTGAAGTGTAACAGCAAACATTAAAATTTAGCATCTTTGCTTTTAAGGATCAGGGCAGGAAAAATAGGAGGGAGAAAGAAAGTTTTGCTACCAGAACTAAACTTTCTTTAAAGAACCTTGACTTGTTCTCTTCCCTAAAAGATATTTTCTACACGTCACCACTAAGAGACTACACCTACATCCATCCAGGTAGGGGTTAGGAATTGTTTAAGTGCAGACTGGGATTCCCATGGGCTGGGAGAATTGGAATGCTACCTGCAATGTTCATTCAGAGAGAACACCTGTCTGACAGAGTCAGACCATCAAGCACCAAAACATGCCATGATAGTTCCCCTCTTCACTACCACAACAGCCCAGGCAAGGACTGTGGATCATCACCTCTGTGCCCTTGGCTAATCAAAAGCAGTCTGCAGACTGTGCTGCCAAAGCCATCTTTAGGCACCATTTTTCTTTCTAGGAGTTCCCAGCACGTGGAAAGTGCCTTCACAGGCTAAGGAGGAATAAAAACCCACCCAACCAACAAACCCCTTGTAACATTCCCAAGCGAGTGGTTATTTTTAACCAAAAAGGCTGCTTTGACTTTAATGTGGTCATATTAGCACCTTCAAAAAAAAAGGTAGAAATGTCCAAAAATTGCTCTGAAACACTAGAGCAGTCAGAAAAAGGAGTGCCTTCAGCCTGAAAACAGGGAAAATTGTTCACGGTCTTGGACAAAAATAGCAACAGCAATGACCAGAAACCCTTCCTACCTCGAGGATTTGTATCCATCTCCCCAGATGTTAGGCCAATTAGATTTGGACGCTGCATTTGTGCTCTCGTAAAGAACTGCCGATACTGAGATCTACCAGCACTGGTAATACTAGGAGCTTCGGGGTTATAGCCATCTGGCTCATATGTATCTACAAAAAAAGGAGAGAAACGACAGGATTTTTCAAATGAGTTTAAGACTCAGGGTTAATTTTCCTTTAAGGAAATGCATGGATGTCCAAGAGTCAGAAGCTGTTTCGGATGAAGAGAAAAGAGAGGTGGTACAGCCAATGTGTGCAGCCATTTCAAACCCTCACCTGGACCCAGCCTATCTGGGCACATTCTCTTTTGGTTTTTAATCTGGTACTGTTTGTCCAAATACAGGTCACAATACTGAGTATTGCTGATCCACTGACTGGAAAGGCCCAAGGTATCTGTGTGACAAGCTGCACAATGTCTGGCACTGTTTCAAAGGGAGCAACACAAGGTTTTGTTTGGGCATTTATACTGTAGGGCCTAAGATGGAAAGAGATTTTCAGTCTTTGCTGCCCAAGGGTCTAGTTCACTTCAGAAAAGGATTTTGGGGGAAGAACATACTTAAATAATTCCAATCAAAGAAAGCTGAGAAGTGAGGTAATGGGATCAATACTTACCTACTGGATTCTCTTACTTTATGTAAGAGTGAGACCAGCTGCCTATCCCAGGTAAGGTAGGAATGATCATTTTCATTAGAAGGGGTCACCATGAGAACACAAGATGACAGAATTGACTGCTATTGTTCCTCCAGCCCAAGGTCCAAATCAAGGACGATGTAATTTTCCAAAAAAAGAGAAAAGCTGTACAAGAACTAGAATGAATGAAGTCTATGAAGAGCCTCCACAGAAACACAGTACATCCTGGAACAGAATGAATGCCTGCACAAGGGGACCTGACAGATGTGAACTCCCCTAAATCTCAGCTCCTTATTCCACAGCAGCAAAGACAACTCTACAATTTAAAACAGATGCCCCAGAATATCCACACTGACGTTTTACAGTTTCAGGCTCTGCCAAGAACTTTCACTAACCCTGAAGGAGCTGAACCACAAGTTCCTCCTCCCTGATTTGGCATGTGGTTGACTGCAAGAGGGCAGCCAGCAGTTATTACCACAGCAGTCCAAGAACAGGACATGAGAATCTCCACAGTGGTTCTGGAGAACAGAACTACTGTGATGCCCTGTGACCTACAACAGGCAGAATCAGCCACCAGAAGTTCTGGAGCTGAAAGGATCAGATGGTGACACCTAAACACCTGACAGCACTTGGGGATAACTGAACAGATTATCAAACAAGAAATCTGAGTGACTGAAGTTCTGAAAAGCATGGAAGTCACAAAGATGATGACACGGATCATGAACTGAACTAAAGCCTTCCTTTGAATAAAATTCAGAATATTTATTGTAAAAACCCCAGATGAGAATATTATAAAACACTGACATTTAATTATCTTATTTTGCTCATATAGGATAGGGAAATGCCATTAATCCTTTCATTATTAAAGAAATAAGCTTTATTGTGTTCAAACTGAGCAATCTAGGACTCTCCAGGCATTTTGCTATTTTCCCTTGTAAAACCCCACTTTTTAAAACTTTGAGCTCTGTTAAGGAAGATGGATATGTCCAGTGAAAGCCATCCACTTTAAGTTAGAAAACTAGAACTAAGTTGAATCTGGAAAAAGGACAGAAAGCAAGTACTTATGTATATGAAGACTGTACAGACTATTGTGATACACAGCTGGAAAAAAAATCTCTCATCTGCAGTAGTCCAAACTGGAAAGGAATAAAACCTAAGTTAAACAGCAATTACAGGTTTCCAGATCCATCTTTTGCCTTCTAATATCCTACTGAACAGCTTGAGGATGAAAGGATCCCTTTCTTATGCAACAATCTGATTGCTGTGAGCACATGAAACCCAAAGGAAGCTCCCTACAGTGCTCTTCCCTCAGACTGTGACAGAACACTGTTGCCATTCCACACTGGAATGGATGATGGCCTGACCCAGGGAGACCCATCAGACTTCTTTTTAGATTTGTACATACTGGAGGAAGACAGAAGATAACTTCTAATCACGCATCAGAGGAATTTCACAATTTTTACGTCGAACAGATTTAAACCAAGAGACATTTGCTTACGTTCTGACACTGTATAGAGCAGGTTCTGGGGCAGAGGAGGAGGCAGCCTTGCTCCCACAGGTGCCAGGCTGGGCACCGCACTTGTCCCCGGCTGGTCACGGTTATTTATCAAGCTGGACTGTGTTAAAGGTGGTCCTACAACAACACCACAGAACAGATCACACCATCACACACTGACAGCTCACAGACAAAACGTGCAAACAATTCAATGCCATTTGTTTATGCTTTGCTTTGAGCAAGGTCAGGGTTGTAAATACGTTCAATCCCACTACAGCAACACTGAACTGAGAAGCTTGTTCAGGTAAGTTACTCTGCTTCCAACACCTTTTCCCGTTCCCAGAAAAGACAATGCTCTAAGGGAAAAAAGTGTCTTTTCTTCCCCAGAGGTTTGTTAGTGCAAGAGCTGCATTAACTACAGCAGCTCCTCCCTCAGCTTTGCCATGGAGAGCCAAAGCTTGCTCAGAGCAAGAGATCAGATCAGCATCATTTAGGCTGCAGTTCTGAAACAAGACCTGCAGGGCAAGAGGCATTCCCAGAAAGGAATTTCTCTAACTGGTTGTGCTTTGGTTACCTCATGTACCACACAGACATTCTTACTGAGTGTACGTCCAAAAAGGACCCCAAGTGACATTACACAGCCCATCCTGAGCACTGTCAGTTCTCTCACTGCAAGTCAGCTGACCCACTAAAGGGCTCATGCAAAGGTTAGGGTTAATCCTGTATCAAATTATTTCTCATCCCAAAGCTGCTGCTATTGGACACAACCACCACAGCATGTATTGAGTTCCTGGAATAGAGAGCACTGAACCAGAACAACCATGTCCTTCATAATGCTACTTCTTCATAGAATTCATAAGATGCAGTAAGATAACAAAAAAGGCTGAACATCTCAGATCACTGCTGAGCTAAGACAGATCTTAGATGCACCAATGATGTATTACTTTCTAATAGCAGATAATGTAGCACCAACACTGGAGCTTTATTAGAACCTTTAGGAGATCGAACCTCAACATTTTTTGCACTTGAGGAAAACAAAAACCTAGAAAGTGTCAGTGACCAATCCAACCACCACCAGCTTGAAATGAGCTGAAAGATCCCCCCCGCTCCACTCCCGTGCCCTGTTTAATTCAGTTTGGAGTGTGAGGCACATCGTGGTTCACCAGCCGAATTTTCGGGACTCCTTTGGCACTATTTCAAACAGCACACGGACGGCAAAGAAACCGCAACCGGTTCCTACAGTGGTGCCAGACACAGGCAGCTGTGACTCACGTGGGACGGGCAGCACGACGGGCGGCGGGGGCTGCGGGTGGGCCGGGGGCACCGGCAGCCTCAGGCCGCGCACGGGCCCCGGCAGCGGCGGCAGGAGCATCCCCGGGGGCGGCGGGAGCCCCGGCGGCGGCGGCGGAAACGGGATCATGCTTGGCAAGGAAACTTCGTCTACGACTAAAGGATCATTTCCGTGGTCAAACTGGCAGAGATCGCCAAGGACACAATATCCTCGCTCTGCAAAACAGGACATTTTGTATCTTGTCAGGAAAAAAAAACAAAACCCAGAAGTTCGCAGTGATTTGTAGCATTTCAGATTTTGTTGGAATTTCTTAATAAGGAAAGCACGCCGTCACTGATACATTACATTATCAGATAAGGTTTCAAAATAATTCAAATTAGAACAATCCTTCATAAAAGCACACAAGCTTCCAAGTATCCATCATAAAGGCTAGTCAGAAGTACTTGTTTATATTAAACACGCACACACACTGCAATCTGCAGCAGCAGTGCCAGTGGTTGAGGTATTTGTCTAGCACATACAGAACTGTGAACAAACTCCATATGTTCTTATGCAGCAACTGTCACAGCATAAGCAAACTGCTTCAGTAAGACTAGTTATGTCCTCAGTACGACACAGGTCATCTCTGCACCTCTTACATACAAGGTACATGTCACACACCACTGCACTGTGACTTGCTGCCCACATTTAGTGAATACCCCAAAAACAAGTCACACAAACATTGAAACCAGGCATGAAATGGAAAACTAAGGAACAGTTACCATCATAATCTTGACATCTTCTTTTAGGAGGAGGGTTTCTGCCAAATGAACTGGGATTGCTGTGATTGTTGAAGTAATTTGACCAGCTCTCTGTCGTGTTTTCAAGGTGGTGTGCAGGCGCAACTACAGTAACAGCACTGGGAATAGCTTGTGCAGAGGAATACTGTTCAGAGGATTTACTGGAAGATGCGGACACCGGATTATATGAGCCTTCAACATCATTTTTTTCACTCTTGTATTTTGATCTCTCTCTCTCTCGGTGCTCTGTTGAAAAAAAATAGTTAGGTAAAGTCTTCATGCTTTGTTCTGTACATCAGAGCCATGAGGAAGTGCTAATACACAACATTTCCTGAAATATTGACTGTTCTGCATGTTAAACTGTTCTTGAAGGAGCTCACTCTTACCAATGCAGTAAGAACTAAACATAATGTGAACAGGGGTTTAATTTCAGAAATGTCAGCGTTTTCTTTGCAAAATGCACATTCATTCCTCTACTCCTTATTCCATTCTGGATTACAGCTCTCTCTTAAAGGAGAAAGAGAAGGGCAAAAGCCTTTCAAACAACAAACATACCTCTGCCCTTAACTAACGTGGTCTCAAGGTGCGTTGAAATCTGCTGTAATCTGTGGCACTTACTTTTCCAACAGACCTGAACTAGCCCTAAAAGAACAATGATCACATGGTAACCACTGCAAATAAACCTTCTCTAAAAATATACAGTAACAAAGTGAAAGAGAGGGAAACACTGCTTTGCAAAAAGCTCGATCTCTACAAGGAGAAAAACAAAAAAATAAAAATCAACAGCTTTGTCAGAACACACAGCTCAAAAATACAATCTACTGATATCCACGGGTATACACCTGTGGATAAATTAAGAGGTTAGCAAAGAAGAAAACAACCCCTTTAATTGTTCTACTCCAAAGAACAGCATCTTAATTAACAATTTCAAGAACACAAAGTTCCCAAATTTTGCTCCAACTACCCAAGGGCACCTCCTGGCTGCTAAACCGTAGAGTCCATAGGAGTCACACCCAGCACTGCCATGGGATGTTCTCCTGCAGCAGCACCCTGGATACTCACCACTCCTGCTGCCATCCCGGTCTTTGCTCCGGCCCCTGCTGCGGCTGCGACTCCGACTTAACCCTCGGCTTTTGCTCCGGCTTTTACTCCTGCCCCGGCGCCAGCCAGACTTCTCCCTGTACGGGTCACTCCTGTCATAGTACCTGTCGTAGTCCCTCCATTTCCCATCATCCCGCTTTTTCTCTCTGGTCCTAGAAAAGACAGATGTAGATGATGTTTGTGAAAGGAGGAACCAAATTAAAAAAGAAGCTCACGAGAAGGTAAGGTACTGCTTGTCCTTCCGATCCATCTGAGCAGTGAGACATTCCAGTCAGAATTTCCCAAGTTACAGAGAAGTACAGAACGTCACAGCTGAATCACTGGTCTGTAGCAAGCAGCAAGGGCAGGACTAGGAACTGGCAAGGTGAGACAGTTACAATGCTCAGACCCCAACAGGCTTAAAAGTGATGTTCACTGTGAACAACAGCCCCCAGCCCCTACAGACCTCCCAATAATGCTCTTCATTTATATAACAAGGGAAACAATGGAACTGATGACATTCCTAGGAATTGTCATATGAAGAATACTATCATTTTTTTGGAAGAGGCCAACTTTTTGTGAAGGGTTCTCACACACATAATCAGCATACAGACAATATATCACAGATAGAGAAAAGGAGGGACAAAAATCACTAATTTTTCATAAAAATCACTACCTACAAGGTAAAAACCACGTAAAGATTGACAACAAATACAGAAGAATATCTTAATATTGTGGCTCAAAGCTAACCTTTGCTCACTGGAATCTCCACGGCTCCTCTGGGGACTGGAATACTTCTTCTTCCTGCTCTCCCGCTCTTCTTCAACTGACTCTTGAAAATTCTGTTTAACACACAACTACCAAACGAGGACAAGTATCACTTTTTTTAATGAAGAACACGACATCAAAATGTACTTCAAGTTACAGACAGCATCCCATATAAAACAATATTCAAGTACTACTTGCCCACAATAGCGAAGCACTACAAGTAATCAAGAACTAGAGGGTTTTTTGTCTCAAAACTTCCAAGTTTTTCTGCAGAGATGCTCTCAAATAAAACCACTTCGATGTTTTGTTTCTAAACAGGATTCAGGAAAGACAAGATCTCTCTCCACTCTACTGCCTTATTTAGCATAAGCAATTCTATAAGTTGGGTATTTCCTGGACCTTGGAACATGACTCAGGAGTCACCTTTCCAGGTAGGAAAGTCACTAGATGACATTTGGAATAACTGCTTTAAAGTAAAAATCTGCTCACATGGTGGAACTGGTCACATTTCTTGTTGGCCTCCACCAAAGCAGGTTCACAAGTCTGTCAGCTGTACCACCACTGCAAACCACTGACCCACACTGCACTTCTGCTGCCATTTCACACTGCTTACAAGTTACTGTAAATTTTGGTGACAAAAGTTGACATGCAATAATGTAAAAGATTTTTTTTCCCCGAGTAAAACAAAAAGGAAGGCTTCCTACATGCTTGTATAACAGGATTACTGGGGAGAACTGGTAGAAATATTCAAGACTTGGCTTGACAGGGCTTTGGACAGCCTGACCTGCAGCCCTGCTCCCAGCACAAGGTGCATCACACCTGGGTCCCCTGCAGCCCTGACTCTGCTGTAATTCTAAGTGTAGTTTATTTTATGGCCTCCATTTGCAGGACTCACACCATACACTGAGCTATATGACAGATCTTGATGATCTGCTGATGGCCTTGCTGATGTCAAAATAACTAATTAATGTCCTGATCCTGTAAAGTTGTCCCATAAAGCTGTCCTAGATATCTTCTGCTTATTGCCACTCCCCTCCACTTCCCAAACCTCCCCCTCTGTCCCCACCAGAGCACTGGTTAAGTCAACTGAAGGTAGCTCTAAAGGACTTTCTATAAGCTATGACACTACTTTGAGAACTGATGAGAAAGCTCTTCCAGTGAAAGTCTTGTACAGTGGCAAATTATGAACTTCCGTAAGCAAAATTCTGTGTCACAACCTCAGATAAAACAGGACATCAGAATAGAGAGTAAAAAAGTAAAAACCAACTTTAATTTAAATCATCTGATGAATGACGCTCTGGTAAATAAGGACTTGTGTTTGTTTGGATTGACCTGGGTTTGGCTGACTGACAGATTTCTGCAGTTAATTGTCACCTTCTCTCAAAAACTTAATTGCTTTCAATTTTGTCAATAGAACTTAAAATCATGGCAAAAGAGAGAACTGCTGGCAAACAAACTCTATCTCACTTTCCAAAGTAATTATTCCATTACAGAGGCTGGATTTCACTGGTTTTAAGCATCACAGAAAATATACTAAATAATTTACATTCCTCACAGAATATAAAAAATTGGAAATGTTTTGGACTGTTTTTGCTGCTTTCCCCTCTCAAACCCTTCCAAATAATTATTATCTGGTATTGCTAGGGCCACGTGAATAGGATTTCTGAGTGCCACTACTCTCAATCAAAGGCAGGCTTTGGAAAAGTATTTAAAATGTTCTTGTCCAAATTGTCACCTTCCATTGCTCTTCAGTCACACACAGGTCACAGAGATCATCAGTCACAACAGAGTGCATTTTTCTTTCATGTTTGGCCTCACAAATGTATGAGAGCTAATTTGAAAATTAAAGGCAGGTAGAGCAAATACGTTACCTCCTCCTTGACTTCTTCTTTCTCCTGCCCTGCAGGCTTCGCCTCTGCCTTCGTGGGCTCAGCAGAAGGAAGGTAACTCTTGGTGTACAAACTTTCAAAAAGTTTATCTACAAACCCTGAAGTTTCTGAGGATACAGAACACAAGAAAATACTGTTACATGTGGATTTAAGGGCATGGTTACATTTGCCAGAGAAGACCCTGAAAACAGGTGGGCTGCTCAGAGCAGCGGCACCTCAGATTAATGAGCCTTAGCCCCACTGAAGGAGCTGGAATTACACTTGTGGGACTTGAGGCTGTTCATTTAGAGAAAGCAATTCATCAGGTATATGAAAGACAACAAGAGAAACTTCTGTTCTAAAGGGTGAGTATGATCAGAGCTTGTGATCAAGGAACAAGTCCATAGCTACTTCATCAGCTACTCTCAGCAACCTCTTTAGAGCAATTTTTACGAGAGTAAATAATTCACAGCAGCAGTTCAACATCATGAAAAATGCACAATAACTTCCCCACTGAGTGTTAGAATTTCAGGTGTTTAAAACCTTGAGTATGAACCAAATTGCCATGCAAAGCTCCCCAGGAGCCTGAAGGATTAACAAGGACTAGGTTTTCAAAGGTGACCAAGCACCTGTCAGAGAAGCTTCTGGCAGCACGACTAACACTTTAAACTAAATTGCTTTCATTTCAGAGCACTTCCTCCCACCCACCGTGAAAAGTCCAAGTTACACAACTTCACCTGAGGATTATTATTTTTTAATCCCAAGATCTTTTTTCCATAACATTCTGTAAGAAGTATTCATGGATGCCAAGAAACATTTTGAAGGCAACAGTGGTGCATCACCCTCTGTCCTCCCCCCAGAGAAGCAAAGCCCCTGGAGAGCGCTGTACCTTTCTGCAGGAAGACATCCAGCTGGTCAGCACAGAAAGCTTTCAGCTCCTTCTCGGGCTTGTCTTTCTTGACTAATGCCACGACATAGTTGGCCAAGGCTGAGGGGTCTGCGTCACATCTGGGGAGAGGGAGAACCACGCTTGGCTGCTGCGGGACACCGACCTCGCGGGGACAGTCACTGCTCAAGGACCCCCCCGAGCTCCTGCAACACCCCTGGGGTGCTGGGCTCACACCCAGCACCAGCACAGCTGCCCTGGGACCACGGGGCCAGCAAAGGGCTTTATGAAACCACAGTCCAATATTTTAGTTGCCTTGTGACCCCTCAGCCACATGTGACAACAGTCCCACTTCTCTGCTCTTCCTGAGCTTTGCTGAGGGACAACCACCTCTCTTTTGGACAATCAGACCCACTGCTGAGGCCCCTCTCAGCCCAGCAACCACAGCTCGAAGGGCTCTATGGATATGGCAGAGCACAAACCATGTACCAGGGAAGGTACTGCACAAGGACTGGGAAGGGTTAACTGGGTTTAAACATTAAAATATTGTTATGAAGCAGTTCAGAAAATGTCAGAGGCACATTTTCAATACACACACAGGTAAGTTCTGCACAGCTTCAGTGGTTGTGCCTGACATGCTGGGGTTTCCTCCCCATGGATACTCTCATGCCAAATTTTACAGTAACCCTGTAAAACACCCAAAGGGGAACAGTTACTGAACAAGTTCTCTCCCCACACTCCCTCCCCCTTGTCTGGCTCCACAAAGGCCAAAGACACCAACTTTGTGCAGTGTAATCTTTATATGGGATATTGCTTTAGATTCCACCATTCAGCCACTAGAAACACACTCCAGGTATAAAACAGAACAACAGTGTGACATGATGAAGTGACAGCTCCTCATTTTGCCTCTCAGAGGATGCAGATGTCAGCTATCAGCTGAGGGCAGGAACCTAAACACTCATGATTTAAAGACTTATTTTTTCAAATTAACATTCAAAAGGGGATTGTGTATTTTCTGAGAATATTAACTATGGAAATAAAAGGAAAAAGTATAAAGTATATGGACCTCAAAATAATTTAAAGTAAGGAAAAAAGCCAGAAAACAAGCAGAGGGCAAAAGCCACACAGAGGGCAACTGGTGAGAGAAATAAAAATCCTCAATGAGCAGCAATGAAGCAGCTCTACTCTCAGCCTGCAACAACATCCAGCCTCCACTGAGAGCCAGGATAAATGGAGCAATTAACAACAAAGAAACCACAAATTGACAGATTTTACACATACACAGAAATAACCTGTGTGTGATGCATTCACAGTGTGTGATGTACTGGGGCCCTCACACACTGATTATAAACCTTCCATTTCAAATAAAGGAGATGATCCATCACTTCACAACTATTCCCTTTCCTTTCTCTGCACATTAGTCTCTCTCAGGCATCACCATCCCATTATGCAGTGCAGGAGCACACAAGATGTGTGCGCTCCTCCAGGTGAGCCAGGCTATATTGTCACTCTGTTGTCACTACACTCCCTGACTGTCCCTTTAGAGTCCCTGACTGCCAGGGCCCACTGGCCCAATCCCTTGATTCTCTGCCACAAAAGTCTCCAGCTCACATCCCCACAGTGCAGCTCCAGCGCCCAAGGAATGCTGGAGGCTGACTGGAGCTGGCAGGGACACTGCAAGAGCAGGAGTCATGCTCCAGTCTAGAGACTTTCAGCAGAGTTTGACCAAAGACACCTGTGATCTTAACAAGGGGAAAGGAAAATTGGGAAGAACTTCCAAAGGTCTGATACTTAATGACAGCAACTGAGCAGTCCTAAGGCCTATTTACAACACTTCACACAGGTCTCAGTTGTACTTTGTGGGAACCCTAAGGCTGTCAGGCACCGACAAGCAGCTTCTCCCAGGAGACTCCTGCTGCAGGTGAGACCCACCAACCCCTCCTGTACCTGCACCACCAGCACCAGATGTGTTTAGGCACTGCAGAACTCAGGACCAGCACCTGGGGCTGTTTAGGCACTGCAGGGCTCGGGACCAGCACAAACCCACCACCACGTTACAGCCAGGATGCATTATCAGAAACCATAAAAAGCAGCATGAAACAATGTGGATCCATGCTGACTCCAAAAAAGTCCCACTTCCACTGTAAGAATGTAAATGCAGAGTTTCCACAGGTTTAACATTATTCCTGGTTTTGTCAGCTCCTGCCAGCCCTGGGCTCTGCTCCGAGGTCACACAGCTGGGACTGAGCGACCACAGTGCAGCCAGGGAGGCAGGTGGGGCGGGGGACACAAGCAGCCCACAGCCAAGGCACACAGAACCACTGAGGCTGGAAAGGAGCTCCAAGATCATCACATCCAACCTGGGACCGATCCCCAACTTGTCATCCAGCCCACAGCACTGAGTGCCACGTCCAGTCGTTCCCTGAACACCTCCAGGGACGGTAACTCCACCACCTCCTTGGGCAGGCCTTTCCAATGCCTGACAACACTTTGTATGAACAAATTCTTCCTGATATCCAACCTGAATCTCCCCTGGCACAGCTTGAGGCCATTTCCTCTTGTCCTGTCCCTTGTTCCCTGGGAGCAGAGCCCGACCACCACCCCCAGCTCCACTCTCCTATCAGAGTTGTAGAGAGTGAGGACGTCCACCCTGAGCCTCCTTTTCTCCAGGCTGAGCCCCCCCAGCTCTCTCAGCCGCTCCTGCTGCTCCAGACCCTTTCCCAGCCCCGCTGTCCGTTGCGGAACAAAAGGCCCCCAGCCCGTCCCCGAGCCGGGGCTGTCCCGGGCTGTCCCGCACTCCGGGCGCGCCGGGCCCGGGCCGGGGACAGGCGGGGTAGGGCCGCAGCGCCTCGGCCGGACCCGACCGGCGGGAAGGGCTGCCCGCGCGGCCCGCCCCGCTCGCCTTGCCGCACTCACATGGGCTCCAGCAGCTTGGCCAGCCAGGACTTGAGCGCGTCCACGCTCTCGATGATCATGGTGGCCCCGCGTCCGCCCGCTCACAGCGACACCGCCGCCATGGCCGCAGCCTGCCCGGCACCGCCCGCAGCGCAGCCTGCTGGGCACGGCCGGGGCGGGGCCGCGCCGTCACCGCCAATCAGGCACCGCCGCCCCCGCCGCCAGCCAATGGCGACGGCCCAGAGCCCGACCCGAGGGTCAGGGAGAACCAGCAAGTTCGGTGGAGCGAGCACATGAACCCACGGCGACATCTTGGGGGGGGCGCTCTTAAAGGGGCATCGGCCTGGCAGGAGCGCACCCCGAGAGGCGTGCCGGGTTTATTTCCCCTTCTCCGCAAGGGACAGGTGACAGCAATGATCGTCCTGCTTTCCCACCTGCCCTCCTTCCCTTCCTTCCTCCTTCAGCTGCGGTCCGCTGCCTTCGCGCTACAAAAGGCCCGCGTTCCCCCCGCCCTGTGCCGTGGTACGGTCCTGCTTCCACCCCTTGGCTGTGCCGCCGTTGGTACGGCCCGCGCGGTCTCGTCAGGCGCAGCAACATGGCGGTGAGTAAATGAGGGGTGTCCGGCCTGGGGGAGCCTCGGGGGCCCCGGGCTCTTCTGGGGCCCCGCACATCGCCCCGGGGTCGCTCTTCGGGGCCGCGGTCGTCGGGCAGAGGCCTCGCACAGGCCCCTCTGGGCCCTCTGCGCCCTCTGCCCGGCTGTCGCGGTCCTTTCGTGTAAAGGTCTTAGTAGTGTCTTGGTTTTGAGGGAAAAGAGCCTAATCCTCTAGCTTTCTGAGTGCGGAATCTGCGGTGCGTGTGTCCCGTAACAGCTCCCATATGTTTTATGGTAAAAGAATAAGCTTCTTTAGCATTTACCATATGTTGCATTATAAAAGAATAAGGAGAAGGGCTGTTTAACAAGCATTTAATTAAAATCACTTGGGATATTTTATCTGAAGAACCATGTCGGTGAAGTACAATTAGAGCTGTTACCAAACTCTCCTCCTGGCATGGGGAGTGCTGTTCCCACTTTAGGTGTAGCAAGAGAAAGAAGCATCAAATCGAGTTTATGGAGACTCTGGAATGAAACGGAATTCCATGGGGTGTTTTTAATTGTATGATCGTGTCCTGTCTCCCTGGTTGAGATCCCTCTGAGTTTGTTCAGTATTGGCAAGATGATCAGTGTATTCGTGTGTTACTTGGCTGCTGTCCCTCTTTTGCCTTGGAGAAGGGTTGTTAACCCTTTCCATACAGATCCCGGGCCCTGTTTTGGGAGGGTGCAGGTCTGCACAGAGCCACCGCTGCTGCTCTGCTCTGGGGTGGTGCTGCAGTGCCCTGGAGCCAGAACAGCGCTCACCCGAACCCAGGGGAGTTCAGGAGTGTTCTGTGAGAACTCGCAGCTCTGTGGTTGTGAACTTCTACAGCCAGACTTTTCTTCCCCCTCTCCGCTGAGCAGGAGCGTAAAGGGACAGCGAAGGTGGATTTCCTGAAGAAGATTGAGAGAGAGATCCAGCAGAAGTGGGACCATGAGCGAGTGTTTGAGATCAATGCTGCGGACAGGAAGGACCAAAGGAGGTACCATTGTGTGCTTTTTCTGCAGGTTTTCTCTTTCACTTCTTGAAATGTTTTTCCATTTAAAGTCTGGGGAGGGAAAAGTGGCCCCTTTGCAGTGAGCAGTGTTCTTGGCTCTGCTGTAGGGACTCACTCACACATTGTTGGCATTGCTGTAGCTGATGATGTAAAGCAGATGAGTACGTGTGTGGCCAAGTTCCAGCAGGGACAAGAGAAGCTCTTTCATTCCTTGGCAGTGTCTGTGCCCTCTGTGGTTTTAAATCCAGGTTCTCTTTGGTGACTTGTACACTTGGAGGAGGTTCCTCAGTGTGATACCCGAGCCCTCACGACTGGGAGGTTTCACTCTGATGGAGGGTGTGTCCTGCTCTGCTTGACTGAGAGAACAGTATTACACAAAATCATGGGTCCTGCTGTTGGCCAACCTCTTGTACTTTGTGCAGAAGTGGAGGAACCACATGTGTGACCATCACTGTTCCTCAGATGAGGGGCTGTGATTTCTTTTCTTACATGAACTATGCAGAGGTGCCCTATCATGTGGCTAATTCTGGTCCTTTCTAGACCATTCTACCATTAACCAAACCTGTGCTGGATTTGGTTACTGTTTTGCTTTGATAGTGGCTTTCTGCTCCTGTGGTAAGACACTGCTGAGCTGCTGTGTTGATGTAGAAAGTGCTTCTCTCTTGGGTTACACGTGCTCCCACCTGGCTGGTTCCACAGTTGTTCTCAGCTGTCTGAAATTGGCTCCAAAGGAGTGGGCAGGTGTCACCTGGCTCTGCCCTGAGGAGGGGATGGACCGGAGCTGCAGGGAGGAGGAGCCTTTCACAGGTGCAGAGAGTGTTCTGCAGGATTGGGAAAGACCATTTAACTCTTGGTTTTATTTCTGCCCCAGAGCATCCCTGAGAAACTTGTTTACTCCCTGGGAACGTGCGGTGTGCTTGGGAGCACGTCTCCTTTGGGATCAATGTGATCCATGCTCTTCACACTGTGGAGGGGCTGCCTGGGGGAACGGAATTAGTCCTCTGGGAAGGTCTCTGCCTGGAAAAGCGGTGACCTTGGCACTACGAGGTTACTATTTGCTGTGTGGGAAACTCAGACTAAACCAAGATAATAACTGAACTGGTGTAACAGGTGGCAGGTTCTTAAATTGTAATTTTTGCAAGCAAACAAATGACTTGGCCTTTATTCCTGCATGTTTATAGATCAGTGGGAGCGTGTGAAAGGAAGAGACAAGGTGTGAAGTAGAGTGCAAAGGTAGAGGTAGAAATTCAGTGTCCTAAAGATGTATTATGTTGGTGGAACCTGACTTTTCAAAGCAACTAAGACGATGTTTATATCTTTGAAATACCCTGCAACAATACATCCCTGTGAAAGGAGTGATTATTTACAGTGTGCCCTTAAAATCTGAACTCAGTCAGTGGGAGATTAAATAAATGACTTTAAGCCTCTGTAGTAATTAATTTACAGAAGCAGGATTAGAATTTATTACCTGTGGGAACATGTTATATCCATTTCAACATTTCTTTTTGATGTCAGTCCTCTGAGGGTTTTTTTGTGTTTAGGATTTTTTTTTAAGGGGATAAAGCCTGTAAAGTGTAGCAGCTCTGTAAAATCAAATACTTGTGTTACTGGCAGGAAAATAATATTTTAATGTCACTGTGGGCTGATAACTGAACATGCCAGTTACCTGTTTTACATGTTCATTGTCTGATGGTCACTTTAAAAGCTGATTGTTTTAATTCTTTGGCTTCTCAGCAAAGGAAAGTACTTTGTTACCTTTCCTTACCCCTACATGAACGGCCGCCTGCACCTGGGACACACGTTCTCCTTATCTAAGTGTGAGGTAAATATTCTCCTTTGCTGATACCTTTAAATACTGCCCCAGAACAAATGCTGATTTTGTAGTTCAGTTTTAAGCTAACAGAATGCTTTGCTAATTCCTTTATAGCTTCAGTAATGACTTATTACACTTTTTTTCCCCCCGTATTTTCAGTGGGAATATTGCTGGCTGAAAGGAAATGCCATTCATGGCTCTTTGAATTCGAGGAGATGGGGCTGCAGGTGTTTCCTCTGTTCATTCTTTCAAATGAGATTTTTTTTTTTTTAGGAAGTGCTGCTAAACAGCTCAAACTTCACAAGAGATCTGACTGTCTGTTTTGTTTGTGCCTGCTGTGCTCTGTGACCTGTGTGGGAGCAGGTTTTGGGGCACTAGTGGGTGGGATTCCATGACATCCATCTCTTTGCTCCCATTCTTCTCTGGTCAGCCTGGAAGCTGGACAAGCTCGTGCCTGTGCAGCCCAGGCAATACCAAGCTCCAGTTTCACCTTCCTGTCATGAATTCCCTCCCCAGCTGGGTGCCTGCACTCACCTGTCTGTCCGTAGCTGTGTGTTAGAGAAGGAATCACAGCTGGGTTTGAGAAGGGGCTTCCTCAGCCCTGTGCCATTCCTGTTTCAGCTGTTCCTTTTTTTTCTGTCTGTAGTTTGCAGTTGGATACCAGAGGCTGAAGGGGAAGAGCTGCCTGTTTCCCTTTGGGCTGCACTGCACAGGGATGCCCATCAAGGTGAGAGCTTTGCATTTGCTGAGGATCTTTTCTGTGTGGATTTTATCCCTAAGGCTGCTTGGAGCCTTGCTTACTGTCCATCCCCAACATCACCTTAGTTTATTTAAAAATTCATCAGGACAGTATGATTTGGAACCTGAATTTGCTGTAAAGATGTGTTGTGCTTGAACTGTATATCATCACTTCCTAGAAGATAAAATGCTCTAAAACTAAATTTTACCTGGTATATGTTTTTCTCTGCGAGAAAATCCTCACAATAATCCTGTTCCTGCCCTGGCAGGCATTCTGGGAGTAGCAGGATCTCCTAGAAGTTAATACAAGAAAAAGTTTAAAGCATTGTAGTGAAATGCAGAGTGTTATCAGTAAAACACACTCCTGGGCTGTGATTTCAGCCAGTGCCCAGAGAACTGCTGACACACTCCCAATAACTCTGTTCAGGCTTGTGCAGATAAGCTGAAAAGAGAAATGGAATTGTATGGCTGCCCACCGGAATTTCCTGATGAGGAGGAAGAAGAGGAAGAAAATTCTGGTAAAAAAGAAGAAGAAATTATCATCAAAGACAAAGCAAAAGGCAAAAAGGTAAAGTTTAAACCAAGCCTTCCTGGACTGAGAGCTGTGCTGTCAAAGTTTCAGAGTGTGCATTGCAGTATTTTCCTCCTCTGGGCTCACAGAAACTCGTGATGTAAAGATCTTCATTGTTTTTTCCAAGGTAGCTGGGTACTTTTAAAGTAGACTAGAAAAAAAATGCATCAGCTGCATGGTTCCAGAGATACCATGGTAATGCATGAGCCCTTACTGGTGAGCTGGTGCACTGCTTCATAGTTTCTTGGGAAAGAAAAAAACAGATAATCAAGAGTAATACTCTCATTTTTTTTTTCTCCTTTTTTTTTTTTTAAACCCTTCACAAAACATTCACAAACAGGTCATAGGAAATAACCCTACTTTTTCAGA